AACATGAATTTATTAAAGCCCTTCTCCAAAACTAGTTTGTTTACATAGCCAAAAAGCCATCGTTAAGGTTTAGGCAAGGCAAATCAGATTGAGTAAATGTGTTGAATGCTACAAAATAAAGAAAAAGTGAAAAATTTAGCAACCAATATTATAAAAAATGTCTTTAAAAATTACTTTCGACTAGTTCATCCAGAATATTAAGAAGAAATTTAAAATAATGTTGAACTAAATTTTTGCTACGTAAATCACATTAAGATCGACACCATTAACTCACATCCCCAGTAATTAGAGAAACTCGGAAGTATTCCGAACGAAAGCCGATAAGAAGATGATTTGGTCCATGAAATGTGATAGCCTTAGGCGTATCAGGCAATTGAATCTCTGTAAGCCAACACGACTCTGCTGCTATACAAGAGGGAGACATAATAGAGCCATGGACGTTAGAATCGGGTGGTGAATGTTGCGAATAGGAGTTGGGTTTGACAAATTTTCTATCAACTGGATCCCAAAGCCAAAGATTCAGCTTACGTCGGAGGACAACACAGATACTTAAGGTAGGAAGGCGTGAAGAATGGCTAGTTGAGTAGAAATGAGGGCGTGGCAGCAGGATATTATGCGATGATATATCAGAAGCCAGTGACGTCGTTGGAGAAGCAATTGTACCGCCGGTAGTGGAGGTCCCTGAAAATTAAAATTTAAAAGCATAGCAAAAAATGAAGGAGAGACTAAGGGAAAATTGGAATATGACAGGTTTTGATAAAAATGTAAATAAGAATTGAATAAATGGAGTATGCTAGTTGAACAAAACACTACATGGTGAATACAAAAAGACATTATAAATGTTTGTAATCCAATAATAATAAATCAACTCCGGAAAATATCTAAAATCCTAATGATTTATAAAATTCAATACATTCTAAAATACACTAAGGACAAGTGCTCTCAAAATTTACCTATAACCGCAGAGTCGTTTTTACCTAGGATATCTTCTTCATTTTTTTTTAAAAGGCAAGCAAAGGATGTGGCTCCCTTTGAGCTAGAAATGTTTGAGATAAGTTGGCAATTCGGAAGTGTGTAGACGGATAATTGGCCACCAGTCAGTACTAAGAGCAATGTATGCTCTGGAACAGCAAAAAGCTGAGTAATCGGTTTTTTTCCCAACTTTCGAGTAAATTGAACGGCGACATTAAAAGCTGGCACGGCACCAGGAGAATTTGATTCAGATATATTTTGAGGCTTTTGTTGAAGAAATCTACTGACGTCAGAATGAAAAAAAGGTATGAAGTAATCAGGATGTGAAGATAATTTCGGGGTAATTGAATAAGTAAGGAGATTGCCTTCGTTTGTGCCTATTATTAAGTAATTTTCATAGCAAACAAAGCTCTCCAGTTGACCTTGCCGAGTATTTAGTAGCCTTATTGGTAAAAAGTCTTGATACATTATAAACCAAAATGTGTAAGGATGATATAAACATTAAACTGTGTGTCTTTTTTTCCAAAATTAGTCCATTTAAAAAGGAAATAGAAGAAAATTAATAGAATATACGCAAAAACAGAGATAGACAGCAGGAAGCGCACTCAAAAGAAGCGGAACAATATAAAACAGCTTAAACACGTTTTAAAAATTACATATTAGCATTAGTGATATATTTAATAAATTGTTTTTTATTATAGTTACTTGAGCTTATAATCTCAATTTCCAAATCGTAGAATTTTTACATATAAATATAAGGAATTTCAATAAATGTCGTGAAACAACTAAAGAGGAGATGCGAAGAGAAACTTAATTTCGATGAATCTCCTGAGATAACATTGTTAGAGGGACTTTTATTTCGGATGAAAGTACATGAAGAAGAGATTCCTTGGTTGATCTCACCAGATGAGGACGGATGAATCCCGTTGTACTGCAGCCGTTTGGTTGTTATACGATATTCATGTTGACGCCGTCCACGAGACTTCCACCCTTGTTTCGGGTGAAAGCGTGCTGAGCTTTTGTCCATCATTCATTATTGTAAACGCCTCACGTTAACACTAAAGCTAGAACACTATTCGGCTCTATCTCACTTCTTATATAGACTCAATAGAAACCTAGATAGCTCGATATAGCTTGGTTAATTGTCTTTCATGCTGGTCCTGTTACTTTTGTTCGAGTGTATGCGTATGTGTATGTGTGCGTGTTAGCGTCTATATGTAATACGGTTCCTAAATCAGAGTTGTCAATTGTTAAATCTCCTGTTCTGATCCTCACAAGAGAAAGCCTTGACTGAGACTGCGAAGTCCGTAAACAAGTATGGTTGAGATAATGAAATATCAGTTTGAAATCATAAAAATCAAGTAACGAAGCCATTTGTACTAACCTTTCAGTCTAGGGTCATTAACGTTTAACCCTCCAAGGAAAGGCAGGACTGGGGTAGCGTAATCTGACATGTCTGGTTTAGTTGATGAGCTTACTCTAACGTGTTGGACCAATGTGAGTGAAGTTAGAACCATCAGTAAGCATACAAATCGTGTCGCCTCCTTTTTGACGGCGGCTCAAGACCCTTTCTCACGTTCAATCTATCAATCAAGTATAAGTAATTCCTACTCAATTTTCTACCATCGTTCCTCACAATCAACGTATTTCCTAAGCTATTGATTTCAATAGCCTCTCTTATCTTTCTTTTAAACACAGACGTACCGTAATCAGTAAACCTACTAGTTTCATGTCCAGTTTCTACCATAGTCAGGAAGTCTGTTGCAAGTACAAATTTCAGCAGTCACACTAGGCAACAATTGTACTAATACTTTATTAAATGGGGCCAAAGTACATATGAGCTTGTTTAAGCCTTATTTCTATAATAAAAGATCAATTAATTATAATTAAATCTTTTTTCTACTATAAAAGCTAATAAATAATTATTAACTACACACTAGGCCCTACATCAAAATTTTGTTAGATATGAGCAGATGAGCTTAGGGAGTTATCCTGACTAAAAAGGTGAAGCACTGGCACAATTACCGAGCTTCAACCCTGGTTTAGAAAGAAATATAATGGTTTATTGAACCTTTGAAACGTAAGCTAAGGGCTTGAAAATACTCCAAATTGTATTTAAGGTTGGTTCGATCACGTTTTCGCAATTTGTTCTGAGCATCAGGACGACTTTCTGGAACACACGCATTACTCTGTCCTCTGGCAGAGTATTCGTTATTTCCAATATCGGACTATTAGATTCCTACATTTCCATACGTTTTGCTGGCATCGTAGTCGGCTTTGTCAATGAGAGCCACCATCGTTAGTACAAAGTTACAGCGTAGCAGCTGAAGACAATCCCATTGAAGAATTTTCTTTTCAAACGCTGTGGTATGACTCCTCGTCTCTATTTTTTGTTCTTCTTTTTAGTACTGCGCCTCTTTCTTTCAACCCCACTTCATATGACCCATATACTTATTCACACAATTATGACCTTTCGTTTCCTCCAATGTCGTCTAAGAGTTTGTTGCTACAAGAGGGTTTAATAAAGCATAATCACCTTCATCACTGGTTTCAAGTGTCATTTTCAGAGCTCCTGACCCTCATTCTGCTAGCCTTTATCATAACCCGGCTGACAATTGGTCGCTCCTAAACATTAAACTAAGTCTGACTGCCTGAAATCTGTTTGCCTAAGAGCCTTAAATTCCTATCCCCGTTTACGCCATATTCGAGGATTCAGAGCAGATTCTGTGTATGTCCAAGGCAGTGCCTATGAATATTCCTCTCCCCAGGCTTTAAGCCCATGATTAGGTTATCCTATTTCTCATCCCCACCCACATCGTGCTTCATTCCTTGGGAATCTGTATCCGTCCGTTGGTGTGTGAATGCACCGCCTCCATTTTTCACCTAAATCGCGAAAAGCACCTCTTGTCCTTCCAGTTGACACTCCTATTCGATGAGTTTCTGACATCAAGTCGATTGATTTTAACCAAAATTTGGATTATAGATCTTGAACGTGGGTACATTGACGTATATCTCGTTTACTGCAAGAATCTGACTGTCCTCTTTGGTTGAGGTGGTTTGTCTTGTTGACTGGATCGACATGGTGAAAAACTAGAGAAATGATTTGATGCTTAGGTTGCCATTGAGAATTCGACCGTTTAGGTTAGTGAATCTAAAATATCCACTATGAATATGTGTGTATAAAATTCTTCGGCCTTATATAAAGAAACAAGAAAATAAGTCGCGGAGTGCTTTGTATATAAGCTGAAAAGTTACAGGCAAAGATTATGATTTTGGAAAAATTCAGACGATGATGGAGTGTAGTGCTGGTGCAGGAGGGCAGTGTTTGGTAAT